TTATGAATAAATTATATCAGAAAAAAAATAATAAAAAGTACTACAACTTTACGTTTAAATGGATTAAATTTCAATTAGTTTAAAGCTGGACATTTATTGTTTGTATATGTTCTAAAGGTCACAATGAAAAAAAAAGAAAGGAAAAGAATAAAAGATATTATATTCCATGTGACTATGGCACGCATTTATAGTTTTTATTATTTCAATTTTAAAAATATATACTGTAATTTCAATATTAAAAGCTCCTACCATTTTGTAGGCCTTCTTAATATTTTATTGTTCATTTGTGCTATAAGTAATATTGTTTCTATTACTTGTTTTTCATAAATTTTAAGAACTGAATGGAAGCATCTAAAGAGAATATCTCGTTTTATAAGCTGAATAAGTTGAAAACGAATCATCTAAAAATTAATTTATTTAAAAAAATTATTATTATATATATAGATCCAGTGTTAAATTTTCTAATTGGACCGTAGTAGTATCTAAATATTGAGTTGGAAAGGTTGGTTAGTAGAGTGGAACCTCGCCCACGATAACGATCGAATAGAAGTGAAGTTGGCTTCACGACGTATGCAGGTCGGAGTTGTTTGGATCCACTTATGGATATTTTAAAAATGAATTACATTTTATAAAAACAGGTACGATTTTTATCATTAATTAATATTAAAATGTTCATTTTTAAAATCTAAAAAGCGTAAGATATCCAATTGGAATTCTCAAACATTGTAGAATTCGTTTAATTCTTTTCGAACTCGAACTCTTCTAAAATTCGTAATTAAATTACGGAAAAAAACAATTATTGTAAATGTCTGGTGTTTATTTAAATTCTTCTACTTCGCTATCAGACAATTTTATAAAAATTAACTTCATACATACAATTTTTTTTTATCTTGAATTAATTCCGATTCATGCAAACTAACATCTTTTAACGTTAGAGTTATACAGTAATTTTTAAAGTATGTACTGTATTAATCTTCTTTCTTCCTATCCAGTAAAGTATATATTAATTATCATATTCATATTTTATAAATAAAGAATAATTTAAAGAATTTACACAAATAAAATATAATTTAAATATATTTCCTTCGTATCCATTCTTACTTCTTGTAAAACTTTTCATAAATACTTTAACGTTATAGTAAATGTAGTTGATAAGGAGAACAATAAAAATAAATTTACTTAAAAATGTAGTTTTATATATATATATACTCACGAAAATATTATTTGGAATTAATTTTGCGTGTAGCTTTTATACATGTCTTACATTTTTTCTACATTAAAAAATATCAATCGCTCCTTGAAAGAGTTTAAATCTTTTTAATGAATATTTCATTTATATGAATTTTATTTTAATATAATTTACTTGAAAACAAAGATTATAATTGTAATTTCATATAATTATAATGATATAACTTTAATTATTTTAGATAATTTAAAATATGAATAATTTAAATATTAATAATGATTATGAAAGTAAATCGTGTTATATTCAGCATTTCGGATCGTTAATAAATTTATAAAAATAAATCGATAATGATTTCTTTAATCGTCATTCTTAATTCTTCTAGAACTAATTTAGAAAAGTAAATTTACTTTTGTTTGTTTTTTTAATAGACTACAATTCTATTATTTACGTATGAAAGTTCTACAAGAATTAACAATAGTTATGAAAGAAATAGCGTGAAAAAATTAAGTTACATAAGTAATGTAAGTGTAATAATTAATAATAAACTGTTAAATAATCAATATAGAAAACTAAAATGTAAAATTATACGTATATAAACTCAATTCTTATCATACTGTTAAGTAGAACAATATAGAATTTTTAGTTTTTAAACTGTATCTTCACGTTTTTACATATTTAAAGTAAGGTATTTTTTTATATTTGAAGAGTATTCATTGAAAAATATGCTTTAAAATGTCTGTAATTAAACTCTTGCAACTTAATTGGATTATTTAGATGATGTAAAAGTTATTGACATTTTGCATAAACATTAAATAGACCGTAAATTCAATAAAATGATTAAAATAAAATGAGTTTATTAAGCTAAAAATCAATCTAAGACAATAAATAAACGGTATAAAATTAAATTATATATATTTTCAGAATTAAATTTTCACATTAAAAACGTAATGAATAATATAAATTTAGATGATAATTTTATGCCAAAATTTATTTAGAAATCCAGAAACCGAGAAAAATATTTTAATTAAATAGCTAATATCTATATTAATACAAAGGATTTTTTAAAATTTGTTATAGTAATATGTAATTAAAATATTTTCATAATATTTTAGAACAAGTACAGAAATTTTAATGTAGTTAAAAATTATCTTAAATGATTATCGATATTAATTAAAATTTTACGTAGAAGAGTTTAAAATTCATTATCTCACAATGATTATTCTGTCATTGTTATTCTATGGTTAGAATGTTATTGAATAACTGACGAGTATGTAGAAATTTTATGTAAATTAAGCTGATTTTAGAGCAAAACTGTTTATATTCCGCTTTCTACGTGAGTAGCATTCATATTCACCAGATTAAACTCCATTCTACTTGAATCTAATTTTGTCATTCAATACTTAATAATGTATATATAAACAATCTTTATTGGTTGAATTTTTTAAAACTTAAATATTATATAGAACTAATGTATATATATTACATTTTGTATCAGTATATGTATTATAATTTTTATGAATAAATTATATCAGAAAAAAAATAATAAAAAGTACTACAACTTTACGTTTAAATGGATTAAATTTCAATTAGTTTAAAGCTGGACATTTATTGTTTGTATATGTTCTAAAGGTCACAATGAAAAAAAAAGAAAGGAAAAGAATAAAAGATATTATATTCCATGTGACTATGGCACGCATTTATAGTTTTTATTATTTCAATTTTAAAAATATATACTGTAATTTCAATATTAAAAGCTCCTACCATTTTGTAGGCCTTCTTAATATTTTATTGTTCATTTGTGCTATAAGTAATATTGTTTCTATTACTTGTTTTTCATAAATTTTAAGAACTGAATGGAAGCATCTAAAGAGAATATCTCGTTTTATAAGCTGAATAAGTTGAAAACGAATCATCTAAAAATTAATTTATTTAAAAAAATTATTATTATATATATAGATCCAGTGTTAAATTTTCTAATTGGACCGTAGTAGTATCTAAATATTGAGTTGGAAAGGTTGGTTAGTAGAGTGGAACCTCGCCCACGATAACGATCGAATAGAAGTGAAGTTGGCTTCACGACGTATGCAGGTCGGAGTTGTTTGGATCCACTTATGGATATTTTAAAAATGAATTACATTTTATAAAAACAGGTACGATTTTTATCATTAATTAATATTAAAATGTTCATTTTTAAAATCTAAAAAGCGTAAGATATCCAATTGGAATTCTCAAACATTGTAGAATTCGTTTAATTCTTTTCGAACTCGAACTCTTCTAAAATTCGTAATTAAATTACGGAAAAAAACAATTATTGTAAATGTCTGGTGTTTATTTAAATTCTTCTACTTCGCTATCAGACAATTTTATAAAAATTAACTTCATACATACAATTTTTTTTTATCTTGAATTAATTCCGATTCATGCAAACTAACATCTTTTAACGTTAGAGTTATACAGTAATTTTTAAAGTATGTACTGTATTAATCTTCTTTCTTCCTATCCAGTAAAGTATATATTAATTATCATATTCATATTTTATAAATAAAGAATAATTTAAAGAATTTACACAAATAAAATATAATTTAAATATATTTCCTTCGTATCCATTCTTACTTCTTGTAAAACTTTTCATAAATACTTTAACGTTATAGTAAATGTAGTTGATAAGGAGAACAATAAAAATAAATTTACTTAAAAATGTAGTTTTATATATATATATACTCACGAAANATTTAAAGCTTTTATTAACGAGAAAAGGAATATGGATGCCCTTAGGGACTTGATTAATCGAAATATTGAATTTTTTACGTTATAAAAGTAGGTAAACTTTATTATTAAATAATCTAATAAAATTTTTCTGTTTATAAAAGCTATGGTTAATGATGATTATTTTTTACTCAGAATATATAAATTATGTATTATGTAATTGCTAAATTCCTGCAAGAAAGTCTTTTCTCTCACTGAATTAAAATTTATTTTTTCAGTTTAAAGATTTGTTTATAGAATTGAATAAATTTAAATGTTTTAAATTCCTCTTCAGCTGTGTTTCTAGCTAAAGTGGTATCTCCTACTTCGAACGACTCTAACTTCGAACGATTCGGAGTGCGAATGGCCTCCTGGAATGAATTAAATTCGAACTACGAGACATCATTGTATTTTGGATATCTGAATTGTTATAAAAATCATTCTAACTCAATTTATGACAGTGTTTAATCAATGGAGAAGGCATAAATTAACAGTTTTATATTTAAGTAGTTTTTTTTCAGGTTTAAAAACAAAATCCCGTATTTTTAAATTTTATCTCATAAAACATAGATATTGTGTAAATATTAAATATTGGGTGTGTGCAGCGATTAAATCCCTGCAGGTACTTTATTCTGATCATTATTCTAATCATAGTTTATGTTTTAATTTTCAAATAGTGCTGAGTTGTCTGTTTGTGATAATTTCTGCTACCTAATAATTAATTTACTCATTTAGTTCGATCGCTATGTACCAGATGGCGTTGTTCCAAATAAAAACTCGATAGCACTTTATGATTTCCAGTAGCGTTTAGCCTATTTTTATATTTCAGGTGCTGTCAATGGGTTCTGCTTACTAATATAAGAAGAGGATATGGATAAGTATATTAAGAATAATTAATGGCTAAGTATTAGAGTAATGGATATTTTGCACAGTGTGTGTGGTGCGTGTGTGTGTGTTTCCTCCCCTAATTCTACCCCTTTACGTAATAGCGGGATAACTTGGTAAGTACACCCTTTCGATTTAATGCGAAATAACGATTTTTTTCAGTCATTTATTTTAATGCCTATTTTTTATAGAGGAAGAACCAACAGAAGAACCAACTACTACAGATGCTCCTAGCACCACTGAAGAGTTGGTTACCACTACAACAACAACAACAACGTTAAAACCTACGACAACAACTTTGCAGCCAACTACAACAACTACCACTTTACAACCCACAACAACAACAACTACAGCTGAACCGAGTACTACTACTACAACAACCACTCTTCAACCTACAACGACCACAACCACTCTTCAACCGACAACAACTACTACTACATCACGACCTACTACAACTACTACAACTCAGTCGAGTACAACAACCACGACTCTTCAACCAACAACGACCACTACAACATTGCAACCTACCACGACAACAACAACTAAGCCCACAACAACTACCACATTAGCGCCTACGGAACCTCCTGCAGGTAAGATTTATTTCATAATTAAGATTTAATTGAGGAACTTTCGACATAAATCTTATTCACTTCAGATACAAAGTACAAAAGTACTACAAATGTCCACTTTTCGGATTTGATAAAAAATAGCAAACTCGTTAATGCAAACAGACCTCCTGGAAGTATAAACGGTCCTGTTGGATTTGGATGGGGTGCCAACTTTACAAAAAACTTAGAAAATGAAGAAATTTGCCTGAAAATTGATAGTTTTCAACACGAAGATGAGAAATGTTGGCTCAATCCTTTACATTGTGTAAATGGTATAAGCATTTCTATATGGGCGAAAATATCATATATAAGAACAGATGATGTACCTCGATTCATACTAAGTACAGGTGAGTTTTGTATTAAAAAAAGTTTCAAACATGAAGTAAATCACATAAAATCACTGTAAAACTTTTGGAAATCATTAGAAAGATAAATGATGTATCACAAGAACATAAAAATCAGACATTTTACAGTATTTTGGACTATTAAATCGATTATTTGAAGGCACATATAAGTATCTTAAACAATAAACCGTTGTTAGATACAAACTTTTATAATATAGGATATGCGGAAGAGTGAGTTGATTGCATTTTTAATGCGATAATTTCTCGAATACTATTTTTGAAATTCCGTGTTGTAAAGGATCATAGATTCACGCGATACGTAATGTGCGTGATCATCTTCAATCAATTTAAAATTTACATAGAACTTTCATAACTCAAATATTCAGTTCTGTGTACATTTTTATAAATTTCTTTATAGAATAAACAAGCGAATACCCTTAAAATAAGGTTACTTCCTGGTAGAATCGTTATACTTTGCATTTACTTCCTGAAACAAAACTTTTCAGATAAATTTTCATTATCTGATAGAATACAATTTAAATAATATTAACAAAAGTTATTAAATGAACAGCAAGAAAACAATTTAATAGTTGCATGTTAGTGAATTGTTTTCACCGCATTTTATTATATGTAAATGTTACAGATTAATTTATTTTTAAAGCTCTTAAAGATTTGTTACATAATAAATTTAATTTTGAAGAAAAATTAAAGACTTTTACAAGTTTTTATGATACAAATCAAGTTATCCCAGTTATACAGAATGATACTTTATAATCTGGTTAATGATAATAGTTGATTTGTTTTAAATTAAAACTTTAAATAAATATATAAAATTACTTTTAAATTTTATACATATTTTTATGTTTTATATTACTGAAATATAAAATAAAATATAAAAAAATTATCTAAAAAAAATACAATTAAAAATTAAAATAAGTTAACTTGGCATTCTTTAATTTTTAATTATAATCCAAGATAATTATATAATCCAAGATAATTATATAATCCAAGATAACCTGATTATATATAATGAAAATATATTAATTATAATCTGAAAATATATTTTAAAAATAATGATAAAATTAATGTATTAAAATTGATGAGATTTTCATAGGTCAATGACCTATTGGAGAGATGTTTACACGATTTATCATTCTATTAAAATTGAATAATGCAGCATTATTAAAATTATTGATTTTATACAGTTTTATATTTATTATTTATATCGTAACAACACTTTTTTAAAAAGGATCTTAAAAATTAATTATTCGTATTAGGCATTTATGTATATATATATATTTAATTCATAATATAAATAATTGATGCGTATAGAAATTCGTGAGAAAGATCGTGGTATTTTTGGCATTAGTTTTACTATAAAACTTTAATGATTCAAAAAGATATTTTTTCTCCAGAGAGATAGGTCATGAGAGGAAACTATTTGTCTGTTTTTTAAATTTTTAATTGGAAAATTGTATAGGTCTATTTAATATATATTTCTTTTCAGATTTGGAATGTGTCTGTACTTAACTATATTTAAATTCTTAATTAATTATTTTTATAATAGAAGAGATATATTTTGATATTTTACGTTAATCAAATTCTTTATTATTTGATACCAAATTGTATGAAATCATCTCGAAAGTCCTATTGATATGCGAACAAGACATTTGAATTTAGGCCATCTTGATGATAATACTAAATTAATGTTGTTTTTATTCAAACAGATTTTATTTATTATTGCTTTAATTTTGATAGAAAATAATGAATGATTAAATAAATTTTATCTATAAATACATAAAATATTTAAAGTTTTAAGTAGTTTTCATTAATTATATAATATAAAAAATAAGTAACGTTGATCTCAAACCTAGTACATGAGTAAAGTAGATCCTGGTTGAGAATAAACACTATAAATTCATTAAATAGAATTTCATAATACAGTAAAACCTGTGTAAACTGGAACATTATCCTTCCGAAGTTTTTCCGTTTAGTCAAATTTCCGTTTTAGACAAGTTTTACTGTACATGTTTAAAACAAAAACCAGAATGTCGTGATTAAAGAAGAAATTTTGAATTATGAAATAGATAATTCTTAATGTAGACACGTTAAACAACAGCAGCAGCAGCCTGATAATCCAAACTTTCAGTAATGATGAATCGGCAGATTATAAATTTATTTAACTAAAATGAATTTATTCAAACAAAAAGTCTGATCTATGTATTATCTTATGAATATTTGTATTGTATTGGTATTAAACATTATAACATAAAAGAATTTTATATCATAAAAGAAATGAATTCTTGAATATAATCTAAATTCTAATGATAGTACTTTAGTTAATATTTTTTTTAAAAAAATTCCATATTCTTAAAATGTTAACGTTTATTTAAGTCTGTTAACACAAAGATTATACCATTGTCATATAAATAATAGAATAATTTAATATATTTACATAGCTCAAGCCTACAACCACGAAATGAAAAAAAGATAAATTTCTTCAAACTGCAAGATGATTGCACGTTGAGAAATTCTGCATCAGAATTATTTACATTTATGATTTCGTTCACGTATTTTAAGATAAGATAAAGAATGCAGCTATTAATATTCTAGACAAATTTAAATGAACTCTTCTATAAAATCTTGCACGTATTTTTTCTTCTTCGGTTGATTCCTTTTTATTACAATCGTTATATTTTTGTTTATTACTATTCATCATGTACTGTACGTTACAGTCAGAAGAAAAGAATTTTATACTGGTGAATTTTGTTGAATTTCAATTTCACAAACAATAAAAATGATTTAATGATACTTTTATAGGAGGATACGATGATGGAAGTCCCGGATTATCTATATATTACAAGGGAATTTATCTGTATGGTGTCGTATGTACAGGAAATGATACATGGGTTGCTTTTGGTGCCGGTTTAACTCGTAATTACACTTGGAATAATATTGGAATAATTTGGAGTAAAAGTAAAGGATTAGGTGTATGTATAATAAGCTAATAGTAAATGTTATTGTTATTTCAGTATGAAAAAAAATTAATATTTTTTTTCAGTTATATGTTAATAGTAAGAGAGTCGCGTATGTTGTTTATCCTGAAAAATCGACAGCTAAAGAAAGCATCACTCCGCCATTACTAACAATCGGATGTAGGAGAAATGATTCTTCAACTTTTATTGGATATTCATATGGGGAATACGACGAATTAGCAATATGGAAAAAAGCTCTGGACGACAAATCGACCGATTATTTCTTAGGAGGGACATGTAAATTAAAAATTTAATTTGGATATTTTAATTTTTGGATTAAATATTATTTAAATTTTCAAATATTTTTAATAGCTTGTGATCCCGACCTGCATCCTTTATCTTGCGAAACAAATACTGATTTATTACTGAGCAAATTCGTAAGTTTTTGTTATATAAATTATCATAATTAATACTGTAAATAACATTTAAAATTTATATTATAGAACGAAGTCAATTTGAACGATCCTGTAGCGTTAGGAAAGTCATTAAAGCATCTGAATAAAGTGTCAGCAATCTTAAAACAACCTTCTTCTTCTTCGGGTAAAATAATGTTGAAACAACTTAAATTTGTAAAATATATATTTAATTAAATAAACATCATTACAGGCAACCTTACAGATTCTGAAAAATCTGAAAAAGATGAGAAAGATGGGAAAAAATCGAAGACACTACAGAATTTAGTAAAACTTTTAAAGAAAATTTTAAAAAGTACAGGAGATTCTACTGAAAAGAAGTTTTCTCAAACTAGATCACTTATTCAGGTTTATAAATTTATTATTTTATAACTTTAATTGTAATTTTTAATAATATTTTTCCTTTATATAACAAGAAACGTTATGTAAAAATAGGAAAAAATAATAAATTATTAGTTGAACCCATAAATCAGAAATCTTTATAATTTTATGCTTTTTACTGAATTTAAACGAATTAAGAAATTTAATAAGNAACACTGCTCTATAGTGTTTAAACGAATCCAAAATAACAAAACTTAACACGTAAATGACCAAAAGCACAAGATAAACGTTTATATATATTCCAGGTAGATTCATCACAGTAACATTTTACTGAATTTAAACGAATTAAGAAATTTAATAAGCTTTAAGATATTTATAAATGTTTAAATATAATTTTAAATTATTTTATGTCTCATTATATAATAAATCTGTAGTACTAAATTTATTAAAATTTCGTTGTTTTATAAGTAAACGGTAGATTTATCTTGCCAATTTTAATTAGTAAGTTGGATAAAGAGGACGAAGAGCTCCCTCTTTTATTAGATATTTCTGTCCTGGAGTGTTGCAGTAATGAGGCAATCGCAAACAATTGAAAATATAAGAATTCTTTTCAAAAAATTTAAAATTACTTCAACAACGTTTCTATATACAATCCAACTTCAAAGTTGTAATTTCTACAATAATAGCACTTAAAAAAAATCGTATAGAAATGACGGAAGCCATTCATCTTAAGCAGAAGCTCAAAAAATTGAACTTCAAAGTCAGTATAAAGAGTATAAAAAGAATTAAATATGTACTAGCCGAAAAATGCGGTGAGAAAAAATAGCTCGGTGTTCAGAAATATTAATGGCCGAATTTGTTTTTGAGTTAAGTATTGATTCAAATGTAGTTTAAAAATTTCTTAACTTTCCCATAACTTTTGTTGATGTCTACAATCAAAGCAAACGAGAGAATCAAATGCCACTTTCTGCCACTTCATAGAAAAATGCAATAAAACAAATTTAGAGTAATTGTATCATTTTTATCAATTAATTGAATTTTTTAAAACTATTTTTCACTTTTTACTAACTACTATAATTTACTTAACGTAAGATTATCGACTAAAGTTTCTAGTCTTTCTTGATCATATACAATCGAACTTTTAAGTTGATCGTCCATTAATTACATATACAATTTTTGGCCACTTTTGACCTCCTGCCTGTTGTGTACAATGATGTACTTTTTGGCAAACCGCCTCCCCTTTAATTATGAGTGCAATAATTCACGGATTCCCATGACATTGAAGAAATAATAGAAAATATTTCAATTGATAGTTTATTCACATGACTAAGAAGGCTTATAAAAATAAATTCGCATGCCACTGATACCACTAAAAATGTTCACGTCGACTCCCTCCCTCTCTAATGTATACAATATTGTACATTTTGGAACCCCTCCTTTAAACTGTATACGTAATTAATGGACGTCGACTAACCGCCATCTCTAAACAATGGTCATTTTTATGCTCACATCAGTGTCCTTGTTCTGAGGTTTAAAAGTATTGAATAAAAAATTAGAAAAACAAAATAAATTATAAAAATTTTATCCAAATGAAAACAACATATACAGCAGAAATATCAATAGAATTTTGAAATCTGTAAGTGATTTCCTGTATAATTTTCTATAATTTCTTTTATGATTCTTAAAATATAATTTTATTAATATTCAAATGAATATATATAACATACATACATTAAAAAATATATAATGTGTTGTATAGGAAGCATTCTTCCTTATAAATAACGAAATTTTATAAATTTAGCACTAGGAATGTATTAAATTTATATTTCATTTTAAAAATATTAATATGCAGTTTAATTAAATCAAATAAATTATTTAATATGAAATTTCCTAAAATATTTAGCTTATATTTGATTCATAACTTTAATATTGATACTTATGGCTTAAATTTCTTTAATATAATGTGATTTAGGCCTATGATATACACTTGATTTAAAACACAGTATTTAAAACATTAAATATAATTAAATTTTTACTATTTATTTTTAATGTTTTAAGTGTTTAATATAAAATTAAATATACTTAATTTGATTTAATATCAAAATATATGAAAATATTTAAATATAAACTCTAAATAAACCTATTAAAATAATTAAAACTTATACTTGCTTAGTACAGATTTTAATTATTTTTCTTTTTTTAATGAAGTGAAATTAGTAAATTCAATGTAAAGATATGAAATATTTCAAGTGTTTTAATTATAAGCATTTGTTACTAGGAAAATACTGTAATAATAAATAATTAATTATCCGGAATCATTTAATTAACATTATAAGTGTCTTCAGGAAATCTAAACACGGTATATAAACATGTAATCAGTTTTTTGGTATAAATTTATTAATTTAAATTTTAGTCTTTAAAATTTATGAAATGTTATTAAAGAATCGATTTTATAAAATATTTTAATGAATTATGCTGACAGCTTTATCATTAAAATAAGTGCAAATGCAAATATTCAAATAAAACTGTAGAAAAATAAATAAATAAAACAGAATTTCAGATACTTAGAGTAAACAACGTAAAATTCTTCATTGGAAAATCGAAAATTGGCATTTATCTATAGTCAAAGAATAAATTCTATTATCTCAACACAGTTAAATTTTAAAAAATTATTTTAAAATACTATAAATAAATAAATAAATATATATATAGAAGTATTTTAAACAGAACGAAATTTCAATAATTTATATAAATATAAAAAATTTCATAATTCAAATAAAAGATTTATTTTGAATAATTGAATTTAAACCCATTAATCATAATTAAATACGATATATTTTAGACACGTACTTAAGAAATAATTAATGTATTCGTGATCATTTGAAAAAAGATCGATCTTATCTTCAAGAAACATTGAGTATTTTTAGACTATTCATTATCAAGCGATTTTATTGTTTGATATATCGTACATTTTAATCTAAAAATCACTTATTTCTTATATTTTCAATGATTTTTTTTGGGCTTAAAATACATTTTCATAGATTTTAATTACTGTCAATTTCTTCAGAGACATGATTTCTCATTTCTCTTATATCAGAAATTCTATGTATTATTCAGTAAAATATTAAGAAAAATGTGTATATAGCATTTTAAAAGTAAAATACAAACTTAAATGATGAGCCTATCGGTCTTCATAACGTTACAACTATGTGTTTTGTTTGTTCTACGTTATTATTTTTAAGTTATACATTTCTTTATAACTTCATCTTTCTATAGAAATCCAAAATTTATCTGTTGTGAATTAAGCATAATCGTTTTGCTGATTTATTTTTTCGACATCGATTTGAATTCTTTTTTTGTTTGTTTGTATGTATTAAAAAATGATAATTTGGTAAAAGCTGCGCGCCCCTCTTGCAATAGCCTCACGCCCCACAGATTGGAAAACACTGCTCTATAGTGTTTAAACGAATCCAAAATAACAAAACTTAACACGTAAATGACCAAAAGCACAAGATAAACGTTTATATATATTCCAGGTAGATTCATCACAGTAATACAGTATACTTGTTTTTATAACAAGAAAATACAATAATTTTGAGGTGCGCATACAAATCCGCTGATACATTTCTGTACTCGAACTACATGTAAGTTTCGTGTTTTTATTCAAACCTTGGATTCCAATCTACAGTTCAATGCTCCTTGGTGTCTACGATTACCACACTAGGACTTTACAAATCATCTTCGATCAGGAGAAAAACGTTTCTTCTTTCTCAAACTCGATGACACAGTTCTACAAAATGAGAATTGCATCGTCGAAAGAGCATTTTTTGGAGAATGATCATTCTCTAAAAATGCTCTCTTTCGACGTTTCAAAACCAAAATGTTTGTTTCATTGCACTTCTGATTCGAATCAAGTCTCACGCCCGCAACTTTTTACATTCCGAACGCTTTTAAATTTAAATCTCGAATGAACTAAACAAACAATCTACAGCATCACTCCTCGATCTTAACATCATCTCTCTGTTCTTCGTAATTCGAAGTAATAGTTCTCGTCAAATATGTCTTAGACAATACTGTATTTTAATATAAAATATTCTTGTATAATTAAAATAATATTTATACATATATTTGTAGAAAATTTATTATGGCTAATATTGAAGATTGTCCATAAATTGCATAATGCTATTTTTATACTTTTTAACCCCTTCCCCTGTAAAACTGTAATGCTATCAAACATATCTATCTCCAAAACTACGTAACGCATGTTTCATAACTGTACTAAAGAATAATAAGTAACATTGAGTATTGAACTTACATGTATTTTATAACGTACAAAGCAGTGACATAAACTATACGGCTATAGAACAAACACTTCAGAAAAGAAAAAGGAATCATTTTGTATCCCAAAGATTGAAACCCTAGTGTTACGTAACGTTTTTTTTATAAATACTCTCACCTCCTTGTAACGCATCGTTACGATTACCCACATATCCAACCACCCTCATTTGCACTATATAATTTATGAACAGCTCGTTTTGTACTGTTTTAGCTTTATATTTTATTGATTTCTTTGTAATTTTGAATGTAACTTTGTCTTTCTACCGTCTTAATAAATTAAATATTGGTTAAAATAGCTTTTACGGTTACGATTGTGAGGATCTTTATGCAAATTAATACAGTAATTAAATTAATGAAAATAATCTCCGAAAATATGAATAATTGTACGATACGATAACGATGAAGTTTATAATAAATTAATTCAATAATTTAGTAATAAATATAATTAAATATTTATTATGTTTAATTATTAAGTTTAATCTATTACCTAAGCAATTAATGAAAATTGCACCTATTTTTGTATACGATTTATTCTAATTTAATGGTTTTAGTAATTTTAGTATATCATAGATAAAATCAACATACTACATCTACAATTTTATTCTATATTTTTTCTAATATATGAGAAATGTGTAATATTTGTATTTCGCTCATTTAAAGTAACAAACGATTGAAATTTATCTATTTTAAATGTTAAAGTATAATTATCGATCTGTATAAATCTTAATTTTGTTTAAGATTAAGGAGAAAAATTTCACATTGCAGTTCTGTTTGAATGTATATTTTATCATGAAATATAAAATACCAGATAATCATAATTAGTTTTCATATTCAATGCTATCTAGAGAGATATTTTCAAATGCAACTAAATCTAACTGTAAAATGACAGTTGTATTCTATGGCACAATGTGGAAGGTACTAAAAAAACACTGTGGCACTCTGTGGAAGAAAGTAGAATACAAAGTTTTTCACTATCTTCTACAGTGTGCCTTAGAATACAACTGTCATTTTAGAATACATAGTACCCTAGAATACAGTGTGCCATAGAATACAGCTATCATTTTAAAATAGTGTGCCATATAAGATCCGTATAATATATGCGACATCAATTGTTAAGATAAAAATTGCCAACACGATAACTCACTAATTTTGAATCTTCTAATCATTTTGTTTCTAATCAAATATTAGACAAATATAAGTAAACTGTTCATCTTTTTGTTTTTGAAGATTTTATGACATTTAACAACTCGGTGAATCATTTCAAATGCAGTATATAAATTCTGAATTTTCGTGTCTAATATATATAAATACATAATTTTGTTTAGTTTTGTGATTTAAAACTTTTGATAATTTTTTAAATTAACATAAAATTTAAATATTTAAAAAATATTTTTAATTTTTTACATCCATTGCTCGTTTAAGGTTCTGAATATTGTTATCGTGACGAGCACTTTTTAATAATTTAATTTATTTAAAAGAAGCATAATTAATTAATATAAAAAAGTGAAAAATTCATATAAATTTACAGAAATTAAATAAAAAGTAAAAATATAATCATAAATTTTAGCTATTCATGTTTTTTAAATCCATGGTTTTGATATTATTTTATATTGTAACTTACGTGCCAATTATTCTGTTAAAACTTCTTTCTGCACTTTTCTTTTAACGTTTTATTCAATAATGCTGTTAAATTATTCAAGAAATTATTTTCTAGGAAGTGGAAAATTTGCTGAGTAATTTGTTTTCGCCATCTGAAATCGATTCGTGGAAGGATTTTCAAAAGGTCGGATCCTGTAATTACGATAATAATTATTATCATTATTTAAATATAATTAATTAAAATTATTCTATGTTTTTTTCTAACTTTAGAACGACGAAGAAGCGACTAAATTAGTAAACGATTATCATAATTGGTTAATGAAGAAATTATCTCAAGTGAATGAAGATAATACACCAGTCGACGAGGATTATGCATCCGACAACATAGGTTTTAATTAAAGAATTTATGTTTTAAAAGTTATTTAACGGCTTCTACGACCGTAAATTGATAGTAGACCTATACACATTTAAAATTAGTTTCATAATTAAACAGGAACAGAATTTTAATTGCGTGCAAATATCTTTTTGCTGCATGGTTTCTTAATTTGCATATAGATGGGTTAGAGTTTCTTATTCAGTAACACGATAATACTTTTTAAAATTCCCCATAAATTTTCTTCTTGTCACAGTTTTAAACTGTTTTAAATGTAACATTAAAATTTACATTATATTCTTCTAGTTACGAGCGTTAAAAAGATGAAGTTATTCGAATTAATGGAAGGAAATGGAAGATATATTTATTATCCTAATTACTTTAATCAATCGGATGTTGAGATTCTATGGAATGACACAACTGATTATATACGAATTCCAACAGCAATTTTTGGTTCCAAAAATGGTTAGTACGCTTTATTTTATAACATTGTTATATTTATATATGATAACTTTGAAATGTTTCCTTTCTCAGACAGTAGTATCAATATTTTGTCCACTATTTATGATACCTTTCACAAGATCGCTCCTCTCCAAAACTCTGTGACGTGAGCAAGTATTTTGTATATTTCTCCCTTATTTTTTACAATAAAAAATTTGTTAGAATCATAAAAGTAATTGTTTATATATATTTGAATTAAACCGAATATTTCAGAATTTTTTAGTAGCTTAAGAGTATAATTAAATCTTTATTTTCTAGACAACAAGACCAGTAAATTTTCCTAAAAAGAATTAAAAAAAATTATCCATAAAAATTTATATTATCTTTATAAATTTCTTTAAACTGTTTTTTTCCTTTTAATTTCATAAATTAATTGCAAATTGACTTATAACTTCTATAAATTTTAGGGGTCGAGAGACAGATTTAGTATATTTGGATAGCAGAGTCATTAATTATTATGTTAATCCTTATGATAAATCTTTTCTACTGAAAGATCCGATAGTTGTCTATTTAGAACACGAACAAAACAGGGTTAGTAATTTAATTATTATTATTATTATTATTTTGGAATAAATATAAAATAAACAAATTAATTAATTAGTTATAATTTATAAACGTTTAAACAGATTTTATCTCGACAATTATTAAGTGAAAATACTCAAATTATTCCTAAAAGTAAGGTAAGAAATATTTGTTAAATTCAAGTTTAAATTATAATTAATTATGAAAAACAATTCGTTTAATATATCTAAATGAAAAATTAATTTATAAACATTTTAAGAGTCTCTTCTTTTTAGTACAATGGTACCTTTACTTCGAACGCTTCAGAGTTCGAACGTCCTCTGGAAGTTTGAGGCACCACTGTATTTGCAATCGTTTTATTAAAAATGCTGAATTCTTTTATTTTAGTAGCTTATAGATATAAAAATAAAGTTATTTTTTGATTCTATAGAAATATATTTTATAATTTATATTGGCAGATCCATAAACGATTTTGTGTCAGATGGGATCCTCTAATGAAATTTAAACGGTAAATATAAAACACCAATTACTTATTTGTTATATATGATACATTATATCAATAATTGGATTTGTCATTCAGTTCATCATTGCGTGGTGGTTGGAGCACAGAAGAATGTGAGGAATTATTCACACGCGATGATTCCACGAAATGTCACTGCAAAGAATTAGGAATGTTCGCTATATTAACGGTTTTAGAAAAGCCATTTTTATATTTACTGGTAATTTTGACTATGCTAATTAAATTAAATTTAAGTATAATTAATTAATTAACATATATAATTTGTTAAACAGGAAGATTCCAGGCCAGAAAGTCAATGGCTGAGAATCGTTAAATGGATTGGTTATGAAGTTTCGGCTGTTCTTTTAATCATATATATATTTCTAATTATTATCAGAAAGTAAGAAATATATTTATTTTAAATGTATTAAAAATGAATAATAATAAATATCTGATTATGAATATTTTATAGATCACTTCATGATCAATTCCATCTGATTCGCCTTAATACTTCGATTTCCGCTTTGGCTGCTTTAATTTCCTTTTTTTGTATAGATTTTAAATGGCAGGATAGAGTAAGTATTAATTTTTAAGTTTAAAATCCTTTGAAATTTCTCTAATTTTGTTTAATTATTCTAGGCATCCTGTCGTGTACTGTCAGGTTTTGCTCATTTCTTTTATATGGCCCTAGCAACGTGGTTAGTGGTAGAAGCCCATGCCTTGTTTGCAGCTATTATCATGGGTGCAGTCGGAGGAAGAATCATTTGCTACCTTTTGATTGGATGGGGTATGTAAAATATATTATCAAATAATTAATATGTGACCAAAAGGTTCTTAGAATTATAAATTATTTATTTTATATAAGTATACAAAATTGAACTGGCACACACAAGAACATATTCTTGTGAGTGCCAGCTTGTTTTGGGCTTGCATTGTAAATTAAATGTAAAGGTTTAGATACAGATACAAATATACTGATATAAGATGTCATTGAATAAATACTGTATGAAACAGAATTATATTATTTTCTTATATTATTATGTAATTGAACAGCAAATTTATACGATTTAAAATTAGGTTTAAGAATATGAATCTTACTAAAGAGTATTAAAAATGAAAAATAATATACAGTAATTGCCATTGACAATATTGGATTTATATTATATTTTTTAGTAATTAATATAATTAATTTTATATAACTGTCATTTGAATATTTTTATATTGTAACAAAGAGTTAGTTTTGTTACGCTGTCACTTATAAGATCTAGTAGGTGCTAATTGAATGTGCATATAAATGTATACCTTTCACTCTTGCAAATTCATATTAACTCATCTGATGTTATGTGTGCTCATGTGTTCAAGTGTCTGTTTTGTATACAGACTTCTGAATCAATCTATATGGCTTGCTAACTCTTTACTGTACTGTGTCTGTGTTAATGTTTACGGTACTTTGTAATTTAACAATTAATTTAGCAGATTATTTTTAAAATTCGAAAATATATAATAATATCGAATTTATATTTTGACATACATTTTAACACGCATAAAAATATATTGAATATATTTTTATGCACGTTACATATTGAATTAATACAGTCAAACCTCCAATAACGGCCACCTCAAAACAGTGTCCATTTTTTCTTTGAAAAGAGAACAAAATAACATCCAAACAACGGATATTTTTTTATGTTTCTTCAGTGAACGTCGTTTATAGATTTACATATGAGTGATATACATTACTAATTGTCAATACAATGTAACGATATCACTAACTACATGCAACAAATGTTGATTTATGGCTAGTAAACATTAAAATATGTTAATTTTTTAAATGCATTTAATTGATTTTAAAATTCAACTATATATATATCATCATTCAAAGTCAAGTCACAACAATATAGACGTCATGTACAACGACTGACATCTATACAGGAATATATATATACTAATGTAGTTGTAAAATTGTAGTATTGAATGACTGAAATAATAGCAAATACTACTTCAGTTTTTCTCTGCAAACTGGAGTTATATGAATTGACTGAAATGCGAATTTTATGTTAACTTTAGGAAGATTTTATCTAACTAAATAACATTATTTTGATTTTAAAAAATAAAAACTGACATTTCTATCATTTGTCAGTGTATTGAAAAATGCGCTTTCACAAAATAATATGTAAAGTCAATAGATTTATTTATTTATTTCTTCTTGAATTCTCCTCTTCTTTTTTACATTTATAAATTTGGAAGAGCATTAACGAACGATGCTCCATAATCCCTCAATGTTGGGCATTTTTTTTCCTGTATTATAAATTAACTGTGACAAGAGGCGTAGACTTCCATAAAATTAGTGCTGTCATTCACATAGAAATCCTGTACTTAGATATTATTAATAGAGAATTTTAACATCTTTCAATAAATAAAATAACGAATAATAAGAATAAGAAATTCACAAACTTTTTTAGTAAATTATTTTACTTCCAATACTGCAATGACTCAATAAAATGCAGTAATTATGCAAAATAATAACACAAAATTTATTAACGTTTAATGGAAAAATATGGGAAGACAGCCTTTCTTACAAAATAAATATCAAAGTTAGCTCATTCAATATATTTGAATGAATACATAAATTTTCTGCATTAAATGAAGTCATCTACATTTTAAAAACTGACATATTTAAATTAATATTTTGAATAGAATTTTAGCGTGATGATTCTTGGCTGTGCGAATATCTATAAAGTTTTCTCTTCGAGATAATTTTATATTAATATATTAAATATATAATAAAACTAACCTATATAAACATTTAAGTAGATATTAACATATCGCCAGGTGAAAACCAGAAACTTTTATCTACATTTTTATCATTTTTTTTTATTATTATTATTTTAATCTGTTATTTGGATCTTTCTGTTAACAGTGTTTTGTCATTTTACGAACAGCAGGAGTCTAAAAGAAAGATTTTGGCATGAAATGTTTGTTCTAGGTTCCTTGTTTTGTTTATATTATTCAAATTCTTCTGCTGTAAAATTGCCTTTAAGTTAGATAGAACCCTCTGGAGCTTACTTTACTACATTATACGACTTCGATTAAGATTCCTTTTTTTAAGGTTTACTATTTTCTTCTTTGATTTTAAAATAAATGAAAGATTAACATTTTACATAAATTATTGTTAACTTTTCTTAAAAATTAATGATATTTTGTCCATTAATATTTTTTTTCTTTTTGCAAAAAAGCACAAAAAGATATATTTTTAATTACAAAGAAAAATTCTGTAATTAAAAATTCAAGTAAAATATTTAGGAAATACTTTGTAAAATTGTAAAATATGTAATAACAATAATTTTTACTCTAAATAAATAATTTAATATTTATAATTTGATCAGTTAATAGTAAAGAAATTACAGTAAATTTAGTATTAATTTCTGGAAACTAAAATGATTAAACATTAGTTCTCCTGGAATCAACTCTTAGTCATTTTAGGCATTATAGTATTAATAAAAAAAATTATACCAGTCATAAAATGGGTCTCCTGTATATATTTTACTAATATTCGTATAATATGTACAGAAGAAAATGCGATAGATGATATTTTTATTGATTTACGAACTCAATTAACCTAGTTAAATCCATCAAATCAGGAACATCTTAACTCTATTAATAAATATAAGATATTTTAATATATTTCTGGCAAAAATTTTATTATTTTCTTTCTGATTTTATCCGTTTTTTTGTATGTAACACCACTTAATGAATTGAACTCTTCGAAACATCTAAGCTTTATGCCATCTATAGAAATCGTAATTATAAATATCTGCCAATTATCACTTGATATGAATATTAAGTTCGTAAATTTTACCTATTGGTGCAATTTATAGCTTTAATATTCATGCCACAGATCATTAAAAAATTACTATAGAATAATAATACCATTGTTTAAAGAATTAAAATCATTAAGAATTAAAATTAAGAATTATTAAGAATCATTAAAAAAATTAAGAATTAAAATCTTAAAGAATTAAAATCATCTAATATGAATTCGGGTGAAAATTGAATTTACATTTAGCATAATTCTCGAGAATTAATACATTTAATCTAAAGAAAACAAGGATTAAAACTAATTTAAAAAATCGTAATTTGATATTTTTTAGTAATTAATATAATTAATTTTATATAACTGTCATTTGAATATTTTTATATTGTAACAAAGAGTTAGTTTTGTTACGCTGTCACTTATAAGATCTAGTAGGTGCTAATTGAATGTGCATATAAATGTATACCTTTCACTCTTGCAAATTCATATTAACTCATCTGATGTTATGTGTACACATGTGTTCAAGTGTCTGTTTTGTATAGAGACTTTTGAATCAATCTATATGGCTTGTTAACTCTTTACTGTACTGTATCTGTGTTAATGTTTACGGTACTTTGTAATTTAGCAATTAATTTAACCGATTATTTTTAAAATTCGAAAATATATAATAATATCGAATTTATATATTGACATACATTTTAACACGCATAAAAATATATTGAATATATTTTTATGCACGTTACATATTGAATTAATACAGTCAAACCTCCAATAACGGCCACCTCAAAACAGTGTCCATTTTTTCTTTGAAAAGAGAACAAAATAACATCCAAACAACGGATATTTTTTTATGTTTCTTCAGTGAACGTCGTTTATAGATTTACATATGAGTGATATACATTACTAATTGTCAATACAATGTAACGATATCACTAACTACATGCAACAAATGTTGATTTATGGCTAGTAAACATTAAAATATGTTAATTTTTTAAATGCATTTAATTGATTTTAAAATTCAACTATATATATATCATCATTCAAAGTCAAGTCACAACAATATAGACGTCATGTACAACGACTGACATCTATACAGGAATATATATATACTAATGTAGTTGTAAAATTGTAGTATTGAATGACTGAAATAATAGCAAATACTACTTCAGTTTTTCTCTGCAAACTGGAGTTATATGAATTGACTGAAATGCGAATTTTATGTTAACTTTAGGAAGATTTTATCTAACTAAATAACATTATTTTGATTTTAAAAAATAAAAACTGACATTTCTATCATTTGTCAGTGTATTGAAAAATGCGCTTTCACAAAATAATATGTAAAGTCAATAGATTTATTTATTTATTTCTTCTTGAATTCTCCTCTTCTTTTTTACATTTATAAATTTGGAAGAGCATTAACGAACGATGCTCCATAATCCCTCAATGTTGGGCATTTTTTTTCCTGTATTATAAATTAACTGTGACAAGAGGCGTAGACTTCCATAAAATTAGTGCTGTCATTCACATAGAAATCCTGTACTTAGATATTATTAATAGAGAATTTTAACATCTTTCAATAAATAAAATAACGAATAATAAGAATAAGAAATTCACAAACTTTTTTAGTAAATTATTTTACTTCCAATACTGCAATGACTCAATAAAATGCAGTAATTATGCAAAATAATAACACAAAATTTATTAACGTTTAATGGAAAAATATGGGAAGACAGCCTTTCTTACAAAATAAATATCAAAGTTAGCTCATTCAATATATTTGAATGAATACATGAATTTTCTGCATTAAATGAAGTCATCTACATTTTAAAAACTGACATATTTAAATTAATATTTTGAATAGAATTTTAGCGTGATGATTCTTGGCTGTGCGAATATCTATAAAGTTTTCTCTTCGAGATAATTTTATATTAATATATTAAATATATAATAAAACTAACCTATATAAACATTTAAGTAGATATTAACATATCGCCAGGTGAAAACCAGAAACTTTTATCTACATTTTTATCATTTTTTTTTATTATTATTATTTTAATCTGTTATTTGGATCTTTCTGTTAACAGTGTTTTGTCATTTTACGAACAGCAGGAGTCTAAAAGAAAGATTTTGGCATGAAATGTTTGTTCTAGGTTCCTTGTTTTGTTTATATTATTCAAATTCTTCTGCTGTAAAATTGCCTTTAAGTTAGATAGAACCCTCTGGAGCTTACTTTACTACATTATACGACTTCGATTAAGATTCCTTTTTTTAAGGTTTACTATTTTCTTCTTTGATTTTAAAATAAATGAAAGATTAACATTTTACATAAATTATTGTTAACTTTTCTTAAAAATTAATGATATTTTGTCCATTAATATTTTTTTTCTTTGCAAAAAAGCACAAAAAAATATATTTTTAATTACAAAGAAAAATTCTTTAATTAAAAATTCAAGTAAAATATTTAAGAAATACTTTGTAAAATTGTAAAATATGTAATAACAATAATTTTTATGCTAAATAAATAATTTAATATTTATAATTTTATCAGTTAATAGTAAAGAAATTACAGTAAATTTAGTATTAATTTCTGGAAACTAAAATGACTAAACATTAGTTCTCCTGGAATCAACTCTTAGTCATTTTAGGCATTATAGTATTAATAAAAAAAATTATACCAGTCATAAAATGGGTCTCCTGTATATATTTTACTAATATTCGTATAATATGTACAGAAGAAAATGCGATAGATGATATTTTTATTGATTTACGAACTCAATTAACCTAGTTAAATCCATCAAATCAGGAACATCTTAACTCTATTAATAAATATAAGATATTTTAATATATTTCTGGCAAAAATTTTATTATTTTCTTTCTGATTTTATCCATTTTTTTGTATGTAACACCACTTAATGAATTGAACTCTTCGAAACATCTAAGCTTTATGCCATCTATAGAAATCGTAATTATAAATATCTGCCAATTATCACTTGATATGAATATTAAGTTCGTAAATTTTACCTATTGGTGCAATTTATAGCTTTAATATTCATGCCACAGATCATTAAAAAATTACTATAGAATAATAATACCATTGTTATGCTTAAGGAATTAAAATCATCTAATATGAATTCGGGTGAAAATTGAATTTACATTTAGCATAATTCTCGAGAATTAATACATTTAATCTAAAGAAAACAAGGATTAAAACTAATTTAAAAAATCGTAATTTGGATTAAAAAATTAATTAAATATAGGAATTATAAGCACCAAATCTTCCTTTTAAACGCATTTTGAGTTTATTTTAATAGAAAGTCTTTTATGAAAATATAATAAGTTTCGGATACAGAATCAGCTTTATGCAAGTAATTTTTCAATCTAAGCTCGCCTAAAAAATATTAATCGACAATTGCAGCAATATAAATTTCATTAATTACTTAGAACAGGCATTGAATGGGTTGAATGCTAATTCTGTAATTCTGTATTCAACTTGGGATATGTTTCACACGTTTTGATAATAGAGAATTAAGTTATGTGCTAATTAAAACTGAAATAACTGATAATTTGTTTTTAAAACGTAGCTTTGAATTTTAAATAAAATAAGCTTTAATAATATATATTTTTTAAATTAAAAATAATAATAATGACAGCATTTTCCTGTTGGAAAAAAATGCATTAATGCATTAAATTATTTCTATTTTGTAAATTAGAATTTATAATAGATTTATTTTGTTTACTCAGGGGGCTTAAAAATCCCCTTACCGTTTGAAAATTTAATAAACTTTTTGTTTGTTAATTATTTCTATATACAGGAAATCCTCGTTAGTTTGAAATTCAAGGGACGAAATAATCGCGAGTTCGAATTATCCGAGATTTAATATAGATAAATGCCACGTAACTGATGTAATTTATTAAGCAAATAGAATACTGCTACGTATACAGAACGCTATTTTCGTTAATTAATAATAATAATATAAATGTGAAGATAAACAGCACGTGTCCGGTGTTTCCTCACACCGAGAACCTCACAGGTTGAGATAGATTTTATAAAAAGTAAAGCAGAATGACTTGTTATCATTCGTTACACAATGCTTGCTTATTATCATTTATAATGGAAATTTTAAAATGGAATTTGTAAAATAAATCGAAAATTAAACAGAAATTTTATTATTTTATAAGTTTTTTCAAAATTTATATAAGGAAAACGAATAATTTTTTCAAGTTAGGTTTATTTTTACTTTTGATTTTATTATATATTCAAAAGATATTATTTTATTTTATTTTTTCTTTCAATCTGAATAGGAATGATAAAAATTTATTTTTGGTTTTGTCTAAAATATATTTCTACAGCGAACAGAGTCATAAATTAAATTATTCTGACTTTTATAGTCAAGTTCAGAGAAAATATTTTATATATTGCTTCTAATTAAGAAAATACAGAAATAATTAAGATTAATATCAACATTTAAAAAGCAAATAAAATTATATATATCATTAATAATTTATAATTTATATAAAAATGATCAAATGTAGTATACAAGTCAAAATTAATATAAACTTTACAGGTATACCAGCCATATTATTAGGTACTTTTATAGGAATGTATTCAAATTATGGAGAAGATTATAGGTAAGGATAATTTAAAAATAGATTTCCTTTATTATAAATACTATTATTATTATATGATTTATATTATTAGGTGCTTAGCTGGGCCTACAACAGAAATGAGATGGAGTTTCGTAGGACCAATACTTGGTATAGCTGGTGTATGTATTTCTACAAACAATTAATATAAACTTAAGCAATGTGTTGTGTATATTTTCTTGTTTAATTAATTACAGCTTGCTCTATTGTGGTCTATGATTACTATTTGTAATTTAAATACACCTGCGATAACAGTGGGTGCAGCGGTAGAAGAACTTGGGTAAAAGAGTTTTAAATAATAATCCACAAAATTTAAATTTCAATTTTTAATAGAAAACTTAAACGATCTTTGTTTTGTTTTATGATTTCAGAGCTGCAACTAGGGGATTATTTTCTGTTTCTTTTGTATTTGAAGTAACATGGGTATTTGGAAAACTTGCATTTGTTGATATCAATGTACACAATACTCATAGTTTTGATTATCTCTTTCAAATTTTAAACTCCTTTCTGGTAAGTAGTATTATATACTTAAATATTATACTATAGGGGAGACCGGGGCAAGATCGGCATGTTAAGCTTTACTTAAATTTTGTGTAATAAATACTGCTGTAAACTGAAAAAAAAGCTTTGCATATTGTCTATTGGAATGTTACCTTACTATAGAACTGGTTAAAATCAGTTTGGAAATAAAAATAATTAAAATAATTACAACTTTACAAGAAGAGAGAAATTGACGAAGTTGCCCCGGGTATAGGGGCAAGATCGGCAACTTCTCTCTTTTTGTAAAGTTGTAATTATTTTAATTATTTTTATTAAAGTTGCCCCTGGTATAGGGGCAACAGTAATGGGGCAAGATAGGCACGTATATAAAATTATGTTATTAACAATGTATAAGTTGGAATTCACTATTAAAACAAAGAAATACAAATCCAACACCCATTTAATATTATTACAACGAAATGCAAGTTCAAAGACATATATACATGAATAACAAATGCAAACATGTTTTCATTTATCATCTGTTTGATTTTTATCCTTTGCTTCTAATGTGGCTTTATGTTGCCGATCTTACCCCGCTAGTCATGATTTCGAAACATTAAGTACAACCCTGAGAACAGAATGCCAAGCCACGATCTGGCCACGTGAATAAGTTGAAGTTACATCCTTCTAACAGGAAAAGTAACTTTCGTTATCATGGAATTATAACAAAACCTGCCAATTCAATATAAATGGAAAAAAAATATTATATGGAATTCAACGAAAATGAAAATTTGCTTGATAATTCAACTACGCTTGTTGGAGAACAATAAAAACACTACACTCAACAAGCCACCAATAAAACTCAACTGCCTAACCTATAACCAAAGTATCCTTTTAATTTGTTTTTAAAAAAAAGCGCTTGACAAACTTGCCCCGCATGCCGAAGTTGCCCCGGTCTCCCCTATATATATATATTATATATATGTATTTATTTTCATATAACGTTTAAGATAAATAAAAAATCTCTTGGAATGAAAGTGCTCATATCAGTAATTATTGATTCTAAGAAATGTTATCTACAGATATCTATTAAAGATTTGACTGGACACAATACAAAGTAATCACTTAAAACGAATAATTTTAGACCTGATAGAAATTATTTTTAAAAAATCTAGAACATATCTACTTTTTTAAATCTAAATTCCTAATTCATTGACTTGATTTTATGAATATTTCATTTTTTAAATTAAGCTTAAAATACTTTAAAAATATTTATAATAATATTATTTTGTGTGCTATTAATATAATAACATTACATTACAAATTAAATTTTGTATGTCTTAATGAATTTTTTAAGTAACGTAACTAGAACCGATAATATGGGAGCCCAAATTAGAACGTGCAAACCTACATTCATTCTTATATCCAGGCCGGATTTAGGGGTGCGGTACGCATCTACACCCCTTTCTGGAGTTTTTTTCGAGTAAAGCCGAGTACTTCAAGTAGTAGAGGCTTATTGTTTCCCTTCTGCACGCCCCTCTAAAGATTTCTGGATCCATTATTGTTTGTAAAAGGGTCTAAATCCCTTAGACTCTCCCCTGACTATCCTACTGGCTTTGCATTTATTAAATGTATTAAAAATTTATAAATACTACAAACTAAAAAATTATATCTAAGTAAATATATATATATATCATATTTATATTTCTTGTAAAATGTAAGTTTACTTTTCATTCTTTTTGTGGTTTTCCAAAATTACTTTTTTCTATATAAATTATTTTATTTTATAAGTTAAAATATCTACACATGACTTTCATATGTCTGTGTTTATATATATAAGCATGAATTTAGTATTTGAAAACTGCGTTTATCTATTTAAAAAATATTTTTGACAAATATAAGTGTTTTTAAATCGATAAACAACTGCTGTACATTAGTTTCTCAAAGTACTTCAAGGACATTTTATGAGTCTTATGTCTAGTTTTTTTAAACCTTTGGACTATTTACGCAATTTTTGCTTACTTTTTGGCTTAAAATATAAATTTATGAAATCTTAAATTGTATAAACAGTTTGGAAATAAATTAATTTATTCAGTAATTCTTTTGCCTTTAGACTAAAATAGAACTTATTATGTTAAATCTCTACGAACAGAATTTTTTTATCTGAATTTTCGAATACACAGAAGTAGAAATTTGATTGTTTTTTTTTAACTGAAGTGAATGTAATTATCAATAGATGCGATCTAATTAATTTAAAATCAATATATAAATCTTTAAAAACTTTTATTATTAACTTTCATTGTATAAATTTATTAATAGTTATAATAATAATAACAAATGCTTTAATTTCTAGGGCGTGTTCATTGTATTTCTAATGGGTTTTGGATCTAGACATTTTCGTTATGGAGCTATAACTAGTGTTTCGCCTGAAATGCCAACTCCTATTCGGGTAATCCATCTTCTTTATTCTTTCAACATCGTCCATTTGTCAAAACACAGTCGTAATATGACTCATTGACGTCAGATTCGTTCTGTGACGTTAAGATTTGACCACACCCATCTTTGACGTTAATAAGCATTAATTTAAAAAAAATAATAATTTCCTCACTCGAAATCGGTTTCCACGCGAAAAAATCGATTACAATAATCAAAATGGCGGCCGCGGGAGTAATAATATAAAAGCGCCGGCCGGCCGACGTTTAGCTGGGAAAGACGAATTTTAAATATAAATCAAGCCGATGGCAGGTATTGGCTGCGGTCCGGGCGATTAAATCCAATTAATTAATCGCGGGCGACGGAGAAAGAAGGGCAATTAAAATCCGAATAATCGATTATCGTAATCGATTGGCGGCGACGTAAATTCGAATTACGTCTCCGGGCACGTGACGCGTCCTGTCCAATCGCCGGCCGCCCGGGCCCGGTTTGAATTTTCTGGAGGGCGAGGGAGGTTTCCGGCCACGCTGGCCTCCCCCCTGCGTTATTTCGAGTGAGAAACCGGCGAGTAAACGGGGTCGAGGGGAGAAGAATTGCCGAACGAGTCGTTATTCGGCTAGTAACGTATCCCAACTTAGATCCCGCGCGATCGTCATCGGATGATTTCGGGGGGGGGGGTTTGAGTGGTGAGGGGACGATAAATGAAGAGATAAAAAAGGTGTTTGTTTGCACGGTGGCTAAGCATTTCCTTTGCTCCTAGAATGCGAGGGGGAGAGTGTCGTCTGCCCTGTTCCCGTTCGCAGAAAGGGGGTAATTTTATCTTCTGTACGATCGTAACAAGTTGAAGACAAACACTCCTGCTGTTTTTCTCTCGTTTCTTCTTATAAAAATGATGATTTTCTTTGTTTAGTGCTGTCAGATGATAAAAAGCATAGTTTTTTTCTATTCGTTTATCCTCTATCAAATGGAGGATGAAGAGGATTATTATTCTCTTCATCCTCCATTTGATAGATGATAAACGAATCAGAATAAACAAAGCTTAATGCTCAGTTACATGGATGAAGAGGTTAACTTTCCTTGCTTAATGCTCAGTTACATGATTATGAGCATAATTTTCTATTAATTTATCCTATACTAAAGGAATAAAAAGCTTGATTTTCCTCTATTTTCTGTTTAATTCTCTGTCGGATGATGAAAAGCACGGTTTTTCTGTTAATTTATCATCTATAAAATGGATGAAGAGGTTAACTTTCCTTGCTTAATGCTGAGTTAGATGATGAGCATGATTTTCTATTAATTTGTCCTATACTAAAGGAATAAAAAGCTTGATTTTCCTCTATTTTCTGTTTAATTCTCTGTCAGATGATGAAAAGCACGGTTTTTCTATTAATTTATCATCTATAAAATGGATGAAGAGGTTAACTTTCCTTGCTTAATGCTGAGTTAGATGATGATGAGCATGATTTTCTATTAATTTATCCTGTACTAAAGGAATAAAACGCTTGATTTTCCTCTATTTTCTGTTTAATTCTCTGTCAGATGATGAAAAGCACGGTTTTTCTATTAATTTATCATCTATAAAATGGATGAAGAGGTTAACTTTCCTTGCTTAATGCTGAGTTAGATGATGATGAGCATGATTTTCTATTAATTTATCCTGTACTAAAGGAATAAAACGCTTGATTTTCCTCTATTTTCTGTTTAATTCTCTGTCAGATGATGAAAAGCACGGTTTTTCTATTAATTTATCATCTATAAAATGGATGAAGAGGTTAACTTTCCTTGCTTAATGCTGAGTTAGATGATGATGAGCATGATTTTCTATTAATTTATCCTGTACTAAAGGAATAAAACGCTTGATTTTCCTCTATTTTCTGTTTAATTCTCTGTCAGATGATGAAAAGCACGGTTTTTCTATTAATTTATCATCTATAAAATGGATGAAGAGGTTAACTTTCCTTGCTTAATGCTGAGTTAGATGATGATGAGCATGATTTTCTATTAATTTATCCTGTACTAAAGGAATAAAACGCTTGATTTTCCTCTATTTTCTGTTTAATTCTCTGTCAGATGATGAAAAGCACGGTTTTTCTATTAATTTATCATCTATAAAATGGATGAAGAGGTTAACTTTCCTTGCTTAATGCTGAGTTAGATGATGATGAGCATGATTTTCTATTAATTTATCCTGTACTAAAGGAATAAAACGCTTGATTTTCCTCTATTTTCTGTTTAATTCTCTGTCAGATGATGAAAAGCACGGTTTTTCTATTAATTTATCATCTATAAAATGGATGAAGAGGTTAACTTTCCTTGCTTAATGCTGAGTTAGATGATGATGAGCATGATTTTCTATTAATTTATCCTGTACTAAAGGAATAAAACGCTTGATTTTCCTCTATTTTCTGTTTAATTCTCTGTCAGATGATGAAAAGCACGGTTTTTCTATTAATTTATCATCTATAAAATGGATGAAGAGGTTAACNTAAACAACAAAATATTACTTCAAAATGATAATCACTTGTCTAATAAATAATATAATTCTACAACATCATAGATTTAATCAACATAAGTTACATAATTTTACGTTTATCTTATCTACTTCGATTCTTTTTTAGGCGATGAAGGTAAATCTAATATATCTTTAATCAGGAATGTTCTTCGCGAAGGTTCAGTCTTAATAATTTTTCCATGTTCATTTTGTACAGAATTATCAGGAGAACTCCTGAAAGACCTTCGAAGTATCCTGTTAATGGAAGATACACTAGGAACGGAATCTGTAGGACATACTCCTTCATACAGGAGACGTTCTCTGATTTCCCATGCGAATAGGGCGCTATTTTCGGCTTTATACTGTCTTATCTTACTGATTACTAATGGAGTTGAAACTCGAGGTTTACTTCCTCCTAAAATTAGAATCAAAATATGAGAGAAGAATTATTTTTATAATGGTTTTTCATAATTAAAATAATAATTATTACGCATATACATTTAGATTTTATTTATGTATATATATATATTAAAATTTGTATAAATATTTTAAACAATTTGAAAAGTCAGAGGAAAAAACGAAAATGAACTTTATACTGTAATGTATAAGTCAAATGGCATTTTAAGTGATAAACACATATATTTATTATTACAATATTTTTTTTGCTTGTATGAGCAAGTGGTATGACATTTCTTTTTTGAATTACTTAGATTTAATCATAGGAATAAATAATATGGTTATTATCATTATTATCATATAGCCACAGTAAGCCAAACTGCAGCTTGCCAGCCGCACTCTGTTCTTCTAAACCATTATTGTGGCTGCCATATATTTATACAATTTCTTTTTATAATCTTGATATATATTACTACACTTAGAAAACCTACAAAAATATCGTATGACTATTGCGTAGTGTAATATATACAGAGGTTGTAAGTGTAATTCTCAACTGAAAGTTTAGAATACATTCACAAAGTCAAAGGAATTAAATTTTTGCCTAGTCAATCAGTCAGTTATGTATTAATAAAGTAAAATAACAATGATATTTATTATAGAATACTGATAACTATAGTATTTTAACTATAACACGACTCTCCAATAGGGATGCGGCTCTCGTGTATTTCTTATAGAGTCATATCGTAAGAAGGTTTGGTCATCCTTCTTATATAGAATGAAATAATAAATTTATAAGATAATTACTGCAGAAAGAGAGAATACATAATGTAAAACGATACAAAATAACAATAAATCAAAATATTCAATAAAAACAAATATGTTACGATATTTAAGTTAATATTATAAAGTACAAAATTATTTGTGTTTCTATCGATAATGTTATAAAATCGGTATTAAATATATTTTTAGAATAGGAATTTCAAGATATGTTTTTAATTTTCTTTCAATGCTGTTTAAATATCGTGATATTTACACAATAGTATTGTTTATTTTCTAAACTAATGTAGCCCATGAATGTTTGGAAGATGCTGCTGAAATCTTGATTGGCAGAGAATGGACAAGTTTTCTCTTGCAGAACGAATCGAGAAAGAATTAAGTGTGATTTGCATAAAGAAATATTTGGCTACAGGAATATCAGAGATGAAATGAGAACACATGTATACTATACAGTGTTAACATTTTATTATGAAATAAAATTGTATAAACTGTTTAAATACAGCCGAACCTACAATAACGCCATCTCTAAATGGCGGCTATTTCAGATCCTTTTTTAAAATAATATGAAATTTAATTTAAATTTAAAAATTTTTGCAATTATTAAATTTCATGTTTGTAAAAATGATAAAAGAGTTGTTCGACTTAGTTTAAGTAAACGACCGGAGTTTAAAATATGGTTTAGATATCAAATTAAAGCTCTTATCCTGTAGAGTGTAGACGAAGCCGCTGAAGCGATATTTGAGATAGATGCAATGGTCCAGACGTGGTGAACTGACAAAAATACAATGTTAAGTCTATGGGACGAACATGTCAAGTCTCACCCCCTGTTAATTTTAGCCTGAGTAATTTTTAGTGTTTGCAGTTTCATTATTGTAAATACTGAGATCAATAAATGTACATTTTAGTTACTAACGAATAAGACTATTATTTTTATCACCCTCTCCCAATTCAACCTCACCAATCTCCCACCCGTTTAAAAGCCCGAGCAACCGGGGCATACGCAACTATTTTTAAATATTTTTAATAATAATAATTACTATTAAGTTTAGCAAATTAGGTGTAAAAAATCGTTTTTAATTAATTAGATTATTTGAAAATAAATAAATCATAATTCTAAGACTACATTAACCTATTTATTCCGTATTTATTTAACAATAAGGTTTAAAATTTCATTAAATTTCATTTCAGAAATAATAACACAATTAATACAATACCGCAACTGTTTGTTTGTAAAGTAAATACTACAAACACGGAAATGGAGAAATTTTAAAAATTATTCATCAAGAATAAACCAGACAATATAAATTTCTATTCTTGTCAAACCTGTATTACAAATAAACTGTCTCAGAAAATAAAAGACATAAGCTGCATTAGAATTAAGTGAATACAAACAAGACGATTCAGCATAAAATACCACTCAGTGCATTGACCAATAAAACGTATACGTTAATGATAAAACTGTTCCAAATACGAACAATTTATAGATTATACACTGAAAAAATAATTAGATATTCGAGTTTGTATTGAAATCAAGGATGATTGAGAAATGGATACAATTTGTAGATGAAAAACTTTCTGTACTGTCCCAGTACTAACACTATACCCTTATACTAACACTAAGAATATTTCCTTTCAACTATAAAAACAGTAATTTTAAGTACAGCAGAATCTGTTCAAAACGGAAACCTGCTAAACCGGAAAACATATTCGATACCGTGCGATTCCAGTTCACACAGGTTTAACTGTATTTGAAAACTTGAATAGTAATAATATTTCTGAACTCTATGATTAATACTTTGCATCGAATTATGGAAGAAAAAAAAATTTCTATTACAAAAAATACGTGAATTTTCGCCATACAGAGGTTAATCTCGTGTTTAGTCTATAATCAGAAGATGAAATTCATTTTTAGTATAACAACAATATTAAGTTTCGTTACGATTTAAGGAAATAAAACGAAGTTTGTAAAGTGTTGTAACTGTAAACGTTTAGAACGAATAGTTGCAGAAGTATATTTTACTTTTCTAAACTTTTCAACATAGTAATACAACTATTACGACTACCCACAACTAAGTGGTCAACCAGCCAACCCAGATGTCTGTATTGAGACTGAAAAAAAAACTACGTAAATAACTGGCTAAAAATTATTTGAAAAACAAGTTAAAAAGGAATATCATGTCTTAACAAAGATATAACAAAAATGCTTCTTTATCGGGACAATGCAAGGCCACACATAACGCGTGCCCGAGAGGGCCGTGGCGAAATTTCAGTAAACTGGTCCTGTTTCCTCCATCTTATCGCTCAGATCTTGCTCTTCCCGATTGGTATCTTTATGGTTCTTCTAAAGATACCGTATTGTCTCTTAGCAAGAAATTTGAGAACTACAAAGAAATCATCATCAAGAAAGATACGCAAGCTTTTACATATCGATGGCGTAAGACCATAGATTTAAAAAGACAATATCGAAAAAATAATCTGCAGTATGCGAAGGATAAAAAGTAAAGCCTAGTACTCGCATGCGAAATGGACGACGGAAACGTAAGGTGACGTCACTTTACCGTAGAAGCCAAGTTGATAGAACTTTTGCGGAAAGCGAAACGGTAAAAAATTAGGCCAATAAAAAGGCTGTTTAGTAATGACGTGGGACGATAGCATTTAAACTATAGCGGTCTGTTTGCGCAGGAAGTTTGGCTTATTCTGTTTATTATTCGAATTAAATATTAACTAGTCTATAAATTAGTCTATTGACGACAAAAAAAAACCTCCTGATTATCAGTTGCACGTTATCCTATGGGCAAAAAGGGCAATTGTCTGGGACCCCACCAACAGGGGCTCCAAACTAATCTTTTATAAGAAAATATTTTCCCCAAAAAATTCCCTCGAAAAAAATGTTTGAAGTCAACACTGTACATAGGTCCCCCTAATTCAAATTCGCTGCGCTATAATGCCATTGTTAATCGTAACTCAAATACTAAAATGTTTGATATTTCTAACTTCCGGATCAATTTCGAAATGTTTTTCTCATTCAATTTTTTTTTCTTTTTTTACCGTTGACGTAATTAAAAGTAGAGAGGGGAGTGGAACTAGAGATTTCTCCTACAGCTCGGAAAAACTTGGGGATCTTAGTGATTCTTCTCTTATAAATTAATAGTTATTTTAATAACAGAAAACAAAATCTTTAGAACTAATTTTTATTATAAAGATACGTTCTGCGTATTTTTTTTCGTTCAAAAAAACAAATTTTTTAATGTCCTATACAAGTTTGCGACAGCCCTGATTGTGAATGGAAAAAAATCTGCTGAGTTATTGTTAGGAAATACTGACAGATTGATCAATTTGTCAATGGGTGAATCACGGCATTGACACTGCATTTTGTCTATTATAGAAGACATGGCGCGCGTGGGACTGGTAGCATAAATGATTTATAAAAAAAATGATTTTGTAAAAACATAAAAAAAATCTTCTTGTTTTTCTTCATTTTAAATCTTCTTATTCAGAAGGGTATAGAATAATTTATAAGCATAGAAGAGCATAGAATAATTTATAGCAAGTACACTAAAAATAATATAATTTTGCAAACATTTCATATAACTAAAATCTTTTCATCTTTAATTCTTTAATCTATAACTCAATCTAAAATCTATTCATATTTTCAACATTAACATTCATCCACAAATTAAAGACAAAGTCGCTCTAAAAATATATTTCAGACGATCACCATTTTTACATAGTGAATCACGTGTTAAAGTTACAATAAATTATAGTGTTAAAATTCGTCACCAGAGGGCTATCTTGGCGTAATCTACATTTGTCAGCGCTAATCCTCAGTAGATAAAAAAAGCCAGAAACCCAAATGGACAAGGATGAACTAACAAGACGTCGTAAGATTTACCATTCCAATTTTAAAGAAGAAAAAAAAAATTTTAATCTTTATTGGTTTTTTATGTTTTTTAAGGAACTTTTTTAAATATAGGCAGTTGTGTAGCCTAAAAAGGAAGGTCCAGCTGTCTATAATTTGTTCTAGAACACTGTAAAAACGGTGATCGTCTGAAATATATTTTTAGAGCGATTTTGTCTTTAATTTGTGAAAAAATAATTTATTCATCCGACGGAAATCCAAAAAAAAAAATTTAATATTCATATAAAATAAAATTTTATATTAATTCTGCAATATTCGATAAATTTAATTAGCTTTTGTTAAAAACAAAAATATGTAATGTGTAAATGCTTTAAATGTAGTAA